AGGGCAGCAAGTTGGGCCCACCCACCAGGGCACCCACTCACCACGGAGGATGCGGTACCACACACGCCCAAACTCGCCCTCGTCTGCATCTGTGGCTTTCAGCTGAAGGAGAGCGAGACACAGTTATTCCTAATTCCTCAAGGCAGGGAGATGCCCGTGGGGCCCCCTTCCTTCCTCCACCCCGCCTCCCCTCCCCTCCTGCCCAGACCCCTGCTTTCCCAGCGACACACGAGTCTTGCTCATCCGCTATGAGGACATACGGCTGTCGATGGCCCCTGCTGCCCTGCCCTGCACAGGACTGCCCCTGCCCCTTCCGTGGTTCTGGGGGGACAGGGGAGCAGGCAGCACTGAAGCCCTCTGGGTCCTCCCACACCTTCACGGTTCCACTGTTAGCCTTGATGTCCTGATGCTTCTTGCCCACTGCCTTGCCCTGGAGCCCCTCAGGCCACCCCAGCCGGGTGCTGCCCACGGAGGTGAATCCCACGAAGCAGCCTTCCTGGTGATTGCTCCGTGGTCGTCCACACTCGCACTCCACCCTGTCTCCTGTCAGATCACCCCAGCCCCTGGGCCTCGCTGGGGCTTGGGCGCTGTCTCTGGGGTCTGGTGGGGGCAGTGCTGTTCTGACTCGGAGCCCCTGCCTGGTGCTGTGCATCGTTCACAGGGAGTCTGGCTCCGAGGCTGCTGGCAGAGCCGCACTGGCCCAAGGCGAGTCCTGTCAGGGCCAGGTACTGAAGCCTGGAACAGCAGAGTGGCCCAAGACCGTGTTTCTGGAAGACTCCTACAGGCCGTGGCATGGTGTCCCCGGGGGTCTGCGCTGAGCTGCTCTCTGCTGCCCTGGATGCTCCCATTCTGAGACAACCCCTCCTATTCTCGCCAATTCCTCACATCGGCCCTGCCATGTGTCCTGGAGCTGCCATGTTCTTTCTAACCCTACCACCGTGGCCCAAGGGGACTGGGGCAGGAGGAGGTGTCTGATCAAACTGATTTGTTGGGATTTTTGATCTTGGGCTTAGGGAGTGAGTCAGTCCTATAGTAAGGTGTAGCAGAACTGCCACTTTGAGCTCCTCTCCCACCACTCCTTCCTCACTAACTCTGCTGGGGTTGTACAGGTCTCCTTGCAAATCTTGAACACCAAGTGTGTGCTGGCCACAGGGCCTTTGTCTATGCTGTTTCCTCCGTCTGACACATTCTCTTTCAGATATTTGCCTACCCTTTCCCTCACCTCCTTCAGGCCTTTGTTTAAATGCCATCTTTGCATGGGGTCTCCCTGAAGAGTGTGTAGTCTTCCATCCTCAGATTAAACCAACCACATTTCAAAAATACTAAAAAAAAATGTCTGTACTGCACAGGTATAGACATTTTCTCTTGGCATTATTCCCTACACAATTCAGAACAACAACTGCCTACCTCCCCGTTATACTGTATTAGGTACTAATCGTAATCTACAGATGAATTGAGCACACAGGAGCAAGGGGATATTACTCAGCCATAAAAAGCGAATGAAGTGCTGTCACCTGCGGAAACATAGATGGAATGGAGTGGAGGACACGCTGTGAAGTGAGCTAAGTCAGACACAGAAATCCAAACATCACATGACCTCCCGTCCATGTGGAAGCTGAAAAGTTGATCCCAAAGATGTGGAGAATAGAATTGTGGTTCCCGGGGCCTGGGGGGCACGAGGGAGGGGAAGAGAGAGAGGATGGCGGACAGGCGCAGGGTGCAGGTGGGCGGCAGGAGTAACCCCTACGGCACAGCAGGACGTTACTGACGTTGACAGCAATCAAGGGAAACAGTGGCATCTCAGTTCATGAACTTCTTGCCATGATTCTGGCTGTGAACTGAGTTGGATGAGAATCGAAGCAGACTCAGTGGTTAGGTGCGTTGTCGATCTTCTGGGGAAATTGCATTCCATTCCCAGCCGGTTTGGTTTGTGACCAGAATCATGGAAAGATCAAGTTTATAGACTGAGGTACCGTGGCGCTTCAACACAGCAGAGAATTAGAATGTTCCAACAAGGAATGACAGATGTCTGAGAAGCGGGTGTGCCAACTGCCCTGTCCCGGTCATTACACGTTGTGCACGTGTACTGAAATGTCACGGTGTACCCCGTCCATGTGTACAATTAGTATGTGCTAATTAAAAATAAAAATATCTTCAAAATAAAAAATAAAGTACACAGGAGTCGTGTATAAGCTACATAAATGTTTTGGTATCGGGGTGTCCTGGAGCCCGCTGTGCCTGCAGATAGCGACGGATGGCCGTCTCTGAGACGCAGGCTCCGTTCCGCTCCCAGCCCTTCCCCTGACCCGTCAGCCTCCAACGCCCACACCTTGTCTACTGCCTGCGGCCCGCACAGGAGGCGGGCCACTGCGCGCACTTACACTCCTGTCTCTGGAAAAATGAATGACCCAGCACTCAGAGGGCTCACATATTTGTTGAATGACTACGTGGATGACTTTGTGTAAATCTCCAGTGCGAGGCACCAAGCCCGAAGTCCAGGGAGCACAGAGGGTCACACCCCACAGCCCTGCAGTGTTTGGGCCCCCATGCTCTGAAGTCTCCTTTCCCCTTCGAGCTTCCCTTTGCGCCCGTGGGGAGCCCGGGCGTTGCTCCGGCACAGGTCTCCTTGAGCCGAGGTCATTTGATTCAGGTTTTGTTTCTTGCCTCCTGGGGCCCTAAATAGGCTTTCCTGTCTTTGCGCACTGCACAGACTTCCTGAGAAGAGGGCGATGGGCTCTTGCTTGCACCGATCAAGCCAGCAGAGGCTATCGAGGGTGGGACTGGTCTAAGCTCCTGGAGGAAGAGTGCGGCCTGGAAGGATGGGGAGGATCTGGCTTAACAGAAAGTGTCGGGAAGAGTAATTAGGCTGGGAGCACAGAGAGCAGGAGGGAGGCTGCTGAGGGCCCGGAGGGGACACCTCTCTGTCCGGGGTGGGAAGTCCACACTGGGACACAGTGGAGGGAGCTGGGTGGAGTGCGAGGGTCCTGATAACCAGGCTGTAGCCATGGAAGCGCCGGTAAAACAAGAAGTACGATGGGAGGAGGCTGACATGAGAGTGACTGGCCTGGCAGCAGCGCTGGCCTCATCAGACTCAAGGGATACACAGGGACCAAGGCAACTGTGCCTCACAACTCGAAAAGCACAGAGAGATGGTGGGGAGTTTGCTGGAGCAAGAGGAACTAGGGCTCTGGGTCAGGCACATCCTGAAGCCAGAAGATAAAGGAAGGTAGGCAGATAAGGTGCAGGTCATGAATAGCTAACATACCAGAGGGGCTGAATAATTAACTCCAGCAAACTGATCAGCAGGGCCTAATGGAATGCAAGGGACAAAGCACAGGTCCCTAACTAAATGCAAGGCTTGGAGGAGGTGAAATGCAAACGAAGCAGCTTCCTTTCCTGACATCAAAGACCCACCTGCAACCAGGAGCATCCCTGCTGTCTCTCACGTAAACTGGTCCCCGAAACTGTATAAAAGGCCAGTGGGGGGCTGGGGATTTAGCTCAGCGGCAAAAGCGCCTGCCTGGCAAGCGCAAGGTCGTGAGTTCGGTTCCCGGTACCGGAGAAAAACCAAAAAAAAAAAAAAAAGGCCAGTGGTCTTAAACACCCACGGCTTTTGTGCTGTACGAAACCCCTCCCTGACAAGTGGGGAGCTCTTTTTTATTATTCTTTCTAATAAACATGCGTTTGGCCATTCCCCACCGCTCGCTGCTTGCTGTTCTGTGGGCTTCAATTTTTGCTGCTCCAAAACAAGGACCTGAGGGCTAGTGGGAGCTGGTTACAATCCCAGCGTGATTCCGGGCTTTGTCACTTACTGGCTATGTGACGATGGATGGGTACTTTAACACCCCTGAGCCTCAACTTCTTACCTGCACACTGGGCATACCTTGCAGGGATGAAGGAAAGGGTAGATGCAGTCCTACAAAGCATCTCACCTGGTACCAACAGAGGGAGAGGCGCTGATGGTTTCTGCAACCCTCTCTAGGGAGGCCCTCTTGGTTGACCCTGAAGTGGGGACAGCCGGGTCACCTCTTGCTGCGGAGTCTAAGAAGCTCTGGTGGGTCTGACAGTCCAGATCAGGGAGCCGCAGGACAGGGAAGGCAGAGCTGCCCAGAGGAAGCCTGAAGGGTCCCTCCATGCTCCGTCCCTGGCACCTGCACCATCCTGGAGGTTTGTTCCCTGGCATCTCAGGAGAACAGGGCCAGACACACAGTATCCACTGGTTTGGGAAAAGGAGGGTAAGGAAAACGAGGGCGGTGCAGGCTGGGGGTTCTCTGAGTACTGGTTCCTTCTTCTGGCCTGATGCTGTCCATACATAGTGCCAGGAGCCTGCTGCCCACTCAGTTCAGGGACATCACCAAATCCTGCACATCACTAACTCACTGGGTGACCCTGGGTCAGCCATGCCTCTCTGGAGCTGAGTTTTGTCATCTAAGAGAGTGGGGCTGTTAGCTGACCCCTGCGGGTCTCTCTAGCCTTTGACAGTCCACGGAAGACTCCTGCCCATTCTGGGGCTGGCAGACAAGGTCTTTTTTTGTGGCCAAGAGCTACGGGCTCTTAGAGAGGGCTGGGTCCCAGGCTCAGGTCTCAGACAGCCATGACTCGTCCTGTGTCACCTTCTAGGAACCTGGAGGCCTCTGCTGGGGAAGCAGCTCAAGACCTGGGCTCCTGCAGCTGGTTGCCAGGGAAACTCTGGCTTCCGGGAAGAAAGGAGCTGGGGGAAGGGAGTGAGCGCATGTTTTGGAGAGGACCCCATGCCCCCATGCCTGGAGGAGCACGCTCCTCCCTCAGTCCTGTGCTTTCTGCTCTGTGACGTCTTTGACCTTTGCAAATGCCTCTACCCTTCCCTTGGAAGGGAGGCACTCTTCGGAGCCCTGCCAGGGACACTGCAGGCGGGGCCTAGGGGCTGCAGGGAGGTCACTGCCTGTCCCCTCCCACTGCCTCAGGCATGTAGCCCCTCTCCCTGGTAACCTAGGGGCTGGCAGGCACTGAATAGCAGCCCACTGGCTGCCTTACCCGCCATTGTAACTTCCAAGGGGGAAGAGCCAGCCTGGGGCTGGGAGGTACCAGAGCTCTCCCTCTGCGCCCCCCATTGCCTGCCCCCCAGAGCGCTCCCAGGAGACTACGGAGTGAGGCTCGCTCCTCCTGCCCTCCCCTTGGTTGCCGCCTCTACAAGCTCAGCTGTCCCCTCCCAAGGGAGGCCCACTCTCTCTGCAAAGCCAGGTCCAGCTGAAGAGCGAGGGGCACAGGCCTACTTGTCGGGCCAGGCTGACTGAGGGTGCAGGGTGCGCAGGGCCCAGGGCAGGGCCAGGCACAGTGGCATCCGGTGCTCCCTGGACCTCCTGGGATAGCTGCGGAGACCTCTCCTCTGAGGAGCTGGGCTGCTGCGGCTGGCTCTGAGGTCAGTGCCGGGGCTGCAGAGGCCTGGTGGGGTGGGGGATGAGACCCTCGCTGGGGATCTCGGGGAAGATGTAGGGTAAGCTCAGACAGGAAAGAAGGCCACAGAGGGCCACAGCTGTGCCGGGACACACAGCATGCTCCTCACTGTCACGGCCCATCTTTGGGGAACTGTAAAGGACAGAAGAAGGCTATAGATGGGTTTGCAGGGTGTGTTCAGAGCAGGGCTCACGTGGAGCGGGGAGCCCCCCACAGCCCGGGACAGTGCCCAGAGTCCTGGAGGAGGCTGCGGGAGCATCGAGTGACCTGGCCCTGGACTTGGACAGTGTCCGTTGTTTTCTAGCATTCCAGACTGCCACAGGAACCACATGCTCACGGCAACCTCCCTTGTAAGGGTTTGTTTGTCTGTTTTGTTTTGTTTTTAATCGAAGCTGGTGCCAAGGCCTAAAGCTCCATTTGCCAGCTTGACAGGCTCTGTGGACTCATCTGCAGGCCCAGAAATACCATCATCTGCGGATGGGGGGCTAGCCTTTTCTGACCCCAGCCAAGCACAGCCAGGGCAGGGTGGAGGGCCAGCTGGGTCTCTCCCCGTGGGAGATGGAAATGGGCAAGCCCTATCCCTCCTCCTGCTCAGACCCAAGGGAACCCAGCCCTCCTATGACACCCAGCCAGAGCGCTCTGCAGACAGGCATCACAGTTTCCAGCTGGGAGCTGGGAGGTGCCCTTTTTCAGTCTGCAAGTGTCAGGAGGGGTGGCAGTAGGGCACGGGTGGGAGGCACAAGTGGGTGGGCAGCTCTGGACGCCCTCAGTCGGCTGGGTGAGGGAGCCAGGAGTTTAAGTCCTGCAGCTGCCGGTGAGTGCCTGGGGTGGGGCAGGGCCCCATGGGGTGGGGGCCTGGGCGCCATGCTCCTCTCCCCACCGCCGCCTGCCCGAGGGGTTCTCCCAGCTACCTGCAGGGCCTCAGCATGACTGAGCCCTCGCTGGGGTTTGGTGCTGGAAACCGACTCTTAAAACTGGAGCGACACTGGGCAGCAAGCTGGGAAGGAGGCCGCTCTGTGGTCCCCAGCGTCAGGAGAGTTTAAGGTCAAACAGAAATGACGAGTCTTCCTTAGAGCCTTTTCTAGATTTCCTGGCCCATGTAGCGTTCAAAGATCACAACTGCTGGCCCACCAGCTAGGCGGAGCCCACGCATGTGTTGTGTTTGGCCTGTGTAGTGTTTCAAATATTTCAAAAGTCATTTCCAATTTTTTTGGAATCAAGTTATTTGACCTTTGCATTCTCTCTCCCCACTTCTTTCTCGCCTTAAATAAATCTGAGTTGCTAGCATTTAAATATCAAGAATATTTGCCTTTTTTTAAAAAAAAAAAATCTGGCTTCCTTCAGGAACAGGAAGAAGTTAGCGTATGGGCCTGTGTTCTGCACCGGCACCATCAGCCCTGCGGCCCCAGCCACGCTCCCCAGGGAGCTGCCCACCCGTCCCCTTTGGTCCAGAGTAACCTGCAAGACAGGCTCTGGTATCATTATCTTCCACCCCAGGCCTATTCAATCAAAAGCTCATCCTGGTTTCCACCTTACGGGACCAACTGACCACTTCCTGGATGGATGATCTTCAGTGATCGTGGAAAGGCCCGGCAGGTGAATGAAGTCTTAGGCAGTGTCCAGCCCACCGGCCAGCTCTTCACAGGCTTACTCCCCACTTGTTCCAGGGGAGGGGGTTGGGAGCCTGAGGGACGGGGAGGTCACGGGGCCAGGAGTCAGCGAGTTCTGGCCTTTGCTTGGCCGCAGTCTCAATGTGGCCTTGGGCTTGGCCTTCCCGCTGAGCCTTGGTGTCCCAGCCTGTCATGGGACAGTTTGGACTGGATCTGGAAGCAACAGCAGGAATGCCAGGGGCCAGGCAGGCAAAATAAGGTGTGCAGAAAGCCTGTGCAGTCGAGTGCCAAGCTGGGTGCCAATGCCTTGTCTAAAAGGAACAGCTGTGGCTGGAGGTGAAATTCTGAAATTTTAAGCAAAGCCAGGTACCCAGGTATTATTTGAACTCTCTCTTTTTAAAAGTCACAATTAAATTAAAAGCACTACAAGGACCTAATGAAACACGCCTGTGGGCCACCCTCTGCCCTTTGTAGGCCTGACATTAGAAAGCATCAACCGACAGAAGCATCTTCTAATCTAGGATGTGCCCCTGGTCATACAGCAAGTTACTGATGTGTTTGGTCCTAGGTCCCAAGTTTCCAAGCCTAAGGCTATAGTGACTCATGAGAACTGATTTTAAAATGTGGGAAGGCATTACTGTTTTGTCTGCGCAGGAGGGGGTAGCAGAAAGAGGCCCCAGGGAGTCCAGGCCCAGGATCACCACTTATCAGCTGCGGGACAAGCCCGCAGGCCTGTCCCCTGGGGAGCCCCACTGTCCTAACCAGTAATGTGGCCATAATGCTATCCAATTTCACAGTGCCCAGCCCCCACCAACCTTCTCCAGGTGTCTCTCCCACCCCAGCCCTGGCTCCTCAGATCTGCCTCTGAGCTTCTGTTTCTTTTCTGCTGCAGGCACCATGAGCACAGAAGGCCCCAGCCTCACCAGTTCCCCAGCCTCGAGTCCCCCGGCCTTCCTCACCGCCCCAGTCACCGCTAGAACTCTTGCTGAGGCGGGGGTCCCGCTCCCCGTGCTCATCGCCCTGGCCTGCATCTTCTTCCTGCTGGCTTCCTGCCTGCTGTTCCTGATGCTCTGCAAGCCAGCCGTGCTGGACCCAAGCCGCCACCGGGCGCACGAGTGCCTGCCCCACCACCCCGCGAGCCCCAGCGAGCCCCGGCTGCGGCTCTGGAAGCGCCTGGGCTCTCTCCGCCGCTCCTTGCCCAGCTTCCGGCATGGCCTGCCTGCCCCTCGACGCCCCCTGCCGGGACGCGATGACAGCCTTGGTGACAGTGACTGCACGGAATCTACCAAGATGTGACAGGGAGTCCACACACAGGCCCCGGGTCCCCAGGTCCCCAGGTCCCCAGGTTCACCTGCAGAACCTCCTGCCTGGCACCACAAGCTGAAGGATGGCAGCCCAAGCAACCTGCACCCCACATGCCCCCCAGCGCTTCTCTGTGTGTACCATCCAGGTCTTTTCTCAGAGGTGGCCCCTGGAAGAGGGCCTTCTCCCTACAGAGCCCCTGCCGCTGCCTGCTGACGACCCCTGGATCACGTGTCAGGACAGATCAGCAGGGGCTGAGCACAGGATAAGAGGCTTCCGTCAGAGGCCAGGCCAGTCTCCGGGAGGCTGGGGGCTGGCCGCCACCCCAGTAGGAGGGGATGGCACTTGGGTATGAGGATGCACTGCAGTGGCTCCGTGCTCCACCCTGGGAAGGAGGCCGCCTCCCCTTGGGTGGGACCATCCAGACCTCTGGGACAGCTGCGGGACCTCCGGCCTCGGCCACACGGGTACAGTCTGTGTGCTTCACTGACTGACCTGTCAATGTGGGCTTCTCAGACGCTCAAGACCCGGACTTCTCTGCCCAAGGTCAAGGCTAAATGCTTTGGTTCGGTCTCCGATCTGGAGAGTGTGCAGCGGGCTTTGTTCCTGCCCCAGAGCCAGCCAGCTAGGCCCCACCCACCATGGGGGTCTGCACTCCACCGGGCTGGGGCCCAGTGCAGCCAGCCAGGTCTTCTCCAGGACTGGGCCTTGAGTTTGCCATGCTTCAGCTTCCAAACCTCCACTGGCTCCCTAATGCCCCCTGGACACGGCCAAAGCTCCTAGCCCGATGTAGGTGCGCTCCAGAACGCAATGTGCCTCTCTAGGAAAACCCCGACTCCAAGAAAACCAAAATCCCTGTCCTCCCTGTCCACCTCATGCTCCACACAGTGCCCATTCTGTGCAGCCTCCTTTGTCCTCCAGCCAAACTGCCCTCCTGCCTGGAACGCCTCCTCTCCTCCTGCAGCCTGCATTATCTTGCCTGTGTCTCTTTCCTCCAAGCCTGGGAGCTTGTGGAGAGCTGGATCTTATCCAGCCCCTTGCTTTGACCTGCTAGCTCCTGACAGAGAAGTATCAAACCTCATTCTGAGGTGAAAGTGGCTCAAGCTGCATGTGTCCTTATCCCCAAAGCAGCAGGAGACCCATTAGGATCCTGCACAACCCAGGACTCTCGTCTGCCCTCTGACACCCCCAGAAAGAAGACCTCTCTCCAGGCAGATCCTGTTGGAAGGGTCATTGCTCCTTCCTGCCTTCCTTCCCTCTCTCCTTCTGGGAGGAGGCACCAAAAGACCTGAACTTCTCCTTGAGAAGTGGGGCAGAAGCAGGGAGCATGTCACGGCTTGTGTGTAGATGTCCCCACCAAAGGCTCATGCAGTCATAGATACAGCTTTTCAGAGACGGCTAGATCTACAGTGTGTGATGCTGGGGTCAAAGGTGTATGATTACTGAATTAGTCCACTGATTGGTTTGCATAGCTCTGGATAGGATGAAGGGTGCCCCACCCTGGGTGTGAGTGCTACCTTCCCTAAGGGTGGGTAACCTGGATAGACTATAATGGACAGCTGTCGTGGTCGCTTTCTACTTCGCTGCTTTGCTGCCCTCCACCCGCCATGAACTGTTCTCTGCAATACCCCTCTGCTAAGCCACGCTGCCTCGGCGCCAGCCCACTATGAACTGAAACCTCTACAAACTGTGAGCTACAGTAAACTCTTCCTCCTTTAACTTTGGGTGTTGGGTATTTTGTCTCAGCAACGAGAGAAGTAACTAAGACAGAGCCCTACATTACTCACAGACTAGGATTTTGGGCCTGAGTAGTGTTGTGTAAATAGAAACCAGTTCTCTGGGGTGCAGGCCTCCTCCCATCGGGCTCTGTTCCTCCTGCCTCTTCCTGGTTCGCTTCCCCAGGGCCTGAACCCTCTGGGTCACCCTCTACTGTCCTTGGCCAGCAGGCCCAGTTTAGCAGAGGCATTCTCTGGGGGTGGGGTGCTGCCTGGAAGCCCGAAGGAGAAGGAAAACCTGCTGGAGGGGGACTCTCAGAAGTCTGGCTGTACCCTAGGTTGGGCAGGCTGTGAGTCCTCGGGTGCCTATCAGGAAGCTATGGTGGCAGATACTAGGCTGGATGGTGCCCCACGTAGTTTTCTGGGTGGTTCTCCAGAGCTGAGGTCAGAGCAGGACCTTCCTCCTGGAGCCAGACTCCTGTACATCCCCAGGACTTCCTGGAATTAGCTCCTGGCTCCCAGGCCCTGTCCTGCCTTCTCCTGGTCTCTGTACCAGGAAGTCCACACCGTGCCTCCCAGCCTCCATCCCACCAGCCAGCCAGCCCGGAGCCCGCCCAGGGCAGGCCCAGATTTGCCGTGCTCGGCTGAGCCTCAGAGTTGTTAGGAAAGCCCTGCAGCTGGTGAAGAGAGTCATTCATTCCTGGCCGCCCTCCCCACCTGGCAACGAGGCTGGCTGGGAGCAGGGAGAGCGGGAGTGAGCTCATTTTGGGGTCCTCCCCCTTCTCCTTCTGAGCCTCTTAGCGGTTGCTCCTGATTGAGGCAAAGAAGCCCTTTCTTCTTCCGCCTGTTACTTCCAAGAAGGGGCCTTGGCCAAGGGCTGTGAAAGCCGCTCTGTTCTGGCCTGGCTGTCTCCCCCAGCTCCTTTCCGAAAAAGTGTGACCTCCCCTCTCCCTGCTCTGAAAGGCCCCTCTGGGTGGGGTGGGGGCGCAGAGCTGTGGGGGGAGGGAGGGTAGGGCCCTCCTGCTTGCTGGGGGACCAGGGCCCTGTCCTCAGTTGACACCACCTGGGGCCCATGCTCCCTGGGAGGGAGGAGGGACTTGGGTGCTCCTTTTCCCACAGCGGATGGCTATTTCTGGAGCAGCAGGCCCGCCTCCACCTTCTCCACCTTCCATGCTGAGTGTGGCCCTGTCTGCCCCCAGCCCACCACTGGCCCCAGGGGCCCACGGCCACCTGCCTGCACGATGCTGTGGCCCTCAGGGATGTCCTCGGGGACGCTGGCCTCATAGCTGCTCTGCAGGAAGATGGGTCGATTGTCGTTCACGTCCAGGACAGTGACAAACACAGTGGCCGTGCCCGTGCGCCGTTTGCCTACAGGGCCATTGTCTGTGGGAGATGAAGGACGGGTTTCAGCACCTGCCCAAGGGGCAGACTTCCTGGGCACCAGGTGGAGATGCACCCTGCTCTACCTCACCTGCACCAGCCTGTGCCCGGTGACTCCCTCTGCAGATAAGGAATATCACTAACAACATCTAGCACTCACTCACATAATGCCAGGGCCTGGGCATGCTTCTAACTCACTCGGTCCTCACAACAGCCCCGTGACTGGGCATTATCCTTCCCACTTCCCGGAGGAGGCAACTGAGGCTCAGACAGGTAGACAGGTTAGGTCCCAAGAAGCTGTGCATGCTTATTTATTTTGGAAAAGGGGTCTTTGATGATGTAATTAAAGATCTCGAGAGGTCATCCTAGGTTGTCCAGGAGGGCCAGAAGCCCAATGTGTTCTTATAGTAGAACAGGAGAAGGCAAGCTTGGATAGGGTGGTCCCAGCACTCAGGAGGCTGAGGCAAGAGGATGGCTTGAGCCTAGGAGTTTGAGACCAGCCTGGGCAACATAGTAAGAGTCTGTCTCAGAGAGAGACAGAGTGACAGAGAGAGAGCCAGAGACACAGAGAGACACAGACAAAGAGACACAGAGAGACAAAGAGAGAGACAGACAGAGACAGAGACAGGGACAGAGACAGGGACAGAGACAGAGAAAGGCAGCAGAGATTTGGAGCAGATAGAAGGCCAAGCGAAGGTGCAGCCACAAGCCTAGGAGCACCTACAGCCACCAGAAACCCACCAGAAACCTAGAGCCTGCGGAGGGACGAGGCCCTGCTGCCACCCTGACTTGGACGTCCAGAACCGGGAGACAATACTTGCTGTTGTTTTAAGCCACCAGGTTTGTGGTGATTGGTTCCAGCAAACCGAGGGCCGGGGTTAGGGACCCGGGTGAGGCACAGATGGGCCCTTCACCAGGGCACCGTCCCAGGCTGCAGTCCACAGGAGACAGGAAGGACGGGGGCCTGGGACACCAGAGCTTTGGTTTCTCAAAAAATTAAACATCTGAATTTTTAGATAACATGTCCTGATTTCTTACTGAGTGTTCACACTTAGCTTATATATAGATCCTTATAGATCATGAATCAGAGGAATGAATGTGCGGGTCAGATTCAGCACGAGGGCCTTCTGCACCCAAGAGCCCTGGCCCTGCTTGGCTTCCAAACCAGAGGTACGGGGGACTCTGCAGGAGCGCCCAGGCTGAGGAGCGGGTGGCAAGGACAGGTGCCTTGGCCCAGCCCGGGGGCAGCTGTGGGTTATCTTCCTGGGAAGTCAGGGCTAGGTGTTCAGGCAAGGCGGCTGCCCGGGAGGAACCAGATAGCAGGAGTTGGCTGGGGACCAAGGGTGATTCCATCTCTTTTCCCAGGCGGGCGGACCACATGCTGGGGTGCAGTTGCCTGCTCCAGGGAGGGTCCTCTCCAAACCAGCCTCCTACCACCCAGAGCACCCTGCCAGCTCGCTCCAGCTGGGACACGGGGCTGGGAGGGCCTCTAGAAAGTCGGACACCCTGTCGGCCTAAAATGAAGCCTGGACTCAGGGATGGCATGTCTTCAGGTGGCAGGGTGGCACCCTAGGTGCAGAAGGCAGAGCGGGGCAGAGGGCATAGGCACCTGGGCACAGCTGGGCTGGGGCAGGACTGTGGCTGCAGGGTGAGATGCAGAGCTCGCTGCAAACACTGAAATGGGCACTCCTGGGAGCCCGCAGGTGCAGGGGACACACAGGCCACACCACACTCTTCTTTCTCTATGGAGTCTTCAAGGGCTCCCCACTGCCTGATGAGCAAAGCCCAAACTTCTAACTCAGCGTTTGGAACCCACAACCCATCCCTCCTGGATGGCAGCCTCTCCTTCACAGTGCAGGCCACACCCTGGATAGCTGTCTCTCACACCTGGGCACACCCCCGCGCACACACACACACACACACACACACACACACACACACACACACAACCTCCCACCTCCAGGTGTGTGCATGAACTGGCTCCTCCCCCCCAAGAGCCTGCGAGGCTTCTGCACCCACTGAAAGCTTGCTTGGCCTTCAACACCATGGTGGGCGCCTTGTGTCTGCCCATCAGCACCTCTGTCCTCTCCTAGGAAGACCATGTCCCTCTGAAGACCCCCCATTCTGACACTGAGGCCTGGGATTCTGGGCAGGTAAGGCACCCCAGCTCCAGGGGTGAGTACCTCTCACTGTCCCTGGCCACAGAGAGGGGCTCGGTCAGGGACACAGGAGCTAACCAGAGCAGATGTGGGCGCTCTGCTGCGGAGACAGAGGAGAAAGGACTTCTGCCCTGCGGCTGCCTCGAACCCAGGGGGTGGGGAAGGCGGGGCAGCTGCAACCACTGGCCACAGTGTGATGCAGAGTGAAGGCAGTCACTGCAGAGACAGGCCCAGTGGCATCACCCAAGCCCTGAATCTGATCACACCGAGCTACCCAGGTGGACAGGTTTTGTGAGCTCATATTGCTGAGGTCTGTTTATTTTGCTTCTAAAACTTGCAACCCAAAGAGTTCTAAGTGACTCAAACGTGATCCCGGATGCTGCTTCCTCCAAGAAACACCCCCCCCTCCCTGACCCATGTTCCTGTCACCCTTTGTGCCTGACGCCGTCACGTCAGCCCTTCGCCCTGTTTGGTTCTGCCTGTGTGGCAGTACAGTCTGCACACTGGTCTCCCCGTGGCCCTCACCAGGTTTCTGCCTCACCGTCCTAGCGTCTCACATACAGCATAGAGGGGCAGCCTCATGGCCCTGAGGACTCAGGGGCATTGGTGCGTATCTGATGGCCCTTTCTCCACTCTGCCTGGAATGGCCACACTGGCACGGCGCACGCAGTGGGCACCTACCGATGGCCTCCAGGACGAGTGTGTACGCAGCCGTGGTCTCGCGGTCCAGGCCCACCACCGTCCTCACCATGGCATCTCGGTAGCCTACGCTGAACTTCCCATCCACGTTCCCTCCTGGGGGAGGAGGAGAGAGAGGCCTCAGGACAGGCAGCAGGGAGAAGGGCCGGCCAGGGGAAAGGGCACCTCGGCTCTGCTCCTGAGGGGGACAGGCAGGACCAGTCCGAGCACACTGTCAGCCTCAGCTTCCAGATGAAGAAACTGAGCAACCCAGCAGCGACCGCTCGCTCGGCTCCCACCTGCCCTGCCCTGGGGCTCTGCTGGGTTGCTGCCTGCGCCCAATGCAGCCTGGGACATAAGGGCCTGGCACTTATGGAGCACCTACTGCACACCAGGCACTCCGCGTGGCCCAGTTCATTTAACTTCCCCTTGACTGGGAAGAAGCGTTCCTCTCCGGAGGCTGTGTGCACTGCCTGGGTGTCTCTTCTGGGCTGACCTCCTCAGGTGGGCAGGAGAAGGTGTGGCTAGTCTTCCTGGGCCCAGGACCCTGAGGTGAGGGTCACCTCTGAGCCGATAGCTCCCTGCACCGTGGCAGGCAGTGTGTCATTCTGGACAGCAGAGGGCACCACTGCACCAAGCTGGGACCAGCTGGGCCCAGGACTGCTCAGCTCTTGGTAGAAAACTGCAAATTCTCAGCAGGTCTTCGGGACCCATCCCCCTCCCGGTGCTGGGGGCTGCCAGGTGCTCCTTTGTCCCGGTTGGTTTGTCCTCAGAGA